ACTAATTTGGTCCCAGTCGGGGAACACTTTTTTGTCCAACTTTCTCTGAATTGATATCCGATTGCACCGTTGCGATCAGACAGTTAAACTCTATCTAACGATATAATTTTTATATTTATTCGTTATACTTTTTCCGACATCATATTTTTGGGTGGTTGACTTTGACAGAGTCAAAATTGGTTTAATTGACCTTTATTCAAAAAGGTTCTCACATTTAATTCATATTATTTATTTCCATGATTTATTTCAATAAATCATTTCAAAGTTCCCATTATAAACAATTTCTTCATTTATTCTTAATTTGGGTCTGTACTCAGGTTCCCAATCAAGATCACACAATAAATCAACATGTTGGATTTATCTCTATGAGATTTATCCCAATTATGTTTATTGGATATCAATATATATTTTATTTCAGCCCAAAGCCCAACAACAATTTATTTTAATCAAAACAAATTTTGTTTAATTGAATATTTAATTCAATAAATTTTAGGGTACATTTTGGGGCGTTACATATGATATGTCAATATTAAATTCGCTTCCGCAATATTGTTGAATACTCAGTACTGTATATGTTATGAAAAATATTATTGGGATTAATAAAATGTGTTTGAAAAGTTTTAAATTTTTACAATTACCAAGTTAATTCTTTAGTCCGAAAGAGGCTGCAGACCTGGGCGGATCAGGGTGTTATATATGAAAGGTAACCACGGTTGGGAGGGTAGCGTAAATACAAAATATTAATATATATATTTCGAAATTGTTAATATAATTTTATTGAACATAAAATTTCATTTTCTGGTTAGTAAAATTATATTGTAATTTTCAAATTGTTTATTTCCAATTTTGAGTTAATTGTATTTGTTTAGATTTAATTCCAATAAATCTTAAATAAATATTCAATACTCAAAAATGAACTTTATAAAACTTGGAAATATTATTTCTATGTGAAATAAAGTTGTTCATAAATATATTGGACAAAATAATATTAGTTAGTAATTAATTGTATATATATTTCAGTATATATATTACCGATATATATATATATATATATAGAAAATGGCAAATATCATTTTGGAAAATTATATCTCAGTAAAAAGTAAGTTGGTTTTTCTAAATATTAAATTCTATAATTTAATGATTTTTGAAAAATGATTTAAAATTATTTTTGCAATTATTGAGATATAATTAATATATTTGGGAAATAAATATTTTTAAATTCTCCAAAATTATTTCTCAGAATTATTAATGTCTAAAATAGTTACTGGAAGTTTAAAATAAATTTTCATCATTTTTGAAATATCATTTCTCATTTAAATGAATTTTTCAAAATAAAATTGGCAAAAGGGCATTTCTGTAATTCTGTGTTTACTGGAACATTTTCTTCAAGTTTTGACCCTGGCTGAAAGTCACATATTACAAATGTAGTATTTTTCTAGAATTGTTTGGGCGAGCGCGGTTCGCCCGGTGTATGTATATCTCTATTGCCTGTGTGGTTGTATGATATGCATGGTAGATGATTGTGGCTATAGTTTATTTAATTATAATACGGCCTTCGTGTCGTGCCTTATCTCTTAAACTCTCGTTGTAAATCTATTTCTCTCTCTTACCTCAACCGAGGATTCTTTTCTCACGTAGTGGTTAGAAGATAAAAGATTTGGAGTCCGTTCGAGGGAATATAAAGGAATTGAGATAGCCCGAAGTCCAAGTACCTGGAAGTCAGTGGGAGCTATCGTTTTATTTTTCCTTTAGGGGCCACAATTGTTACACGTTTATTTACTGCGTATTTTGAATGCATGTGAATGTATGTTTAACGCTAGTAAATTGACACGTGCACGGCATGTGTCGTAGGTGAGATCTTAATATTTAAATCCCTTGAAATATTAAGTCTGTATTGCCTTCCGGCACCCGGCACCTTTCCGGATAATGTGCACTGTCACGTACTCAGCCCTAGCAGAGCGTAGTACGGTGTATGTTATGCTGGTCACGGGAATCACTAAAGTGGTCATTGTCAGACGTTGGGTTAGACTTAACTGATTCTCGGTCAAATGGATAGATGACTCAAAGGCGGTTTTTGTTGGGGTCACTATACTGACAAGTCGAATTACTTTACTCACTCATCCAGCCAGAAGTTGGGTCTCTATGACTTAATTGGGCTTTGCCCTAACTAAAGTAGTTGCGCATGTGGTACGTGCCAAAGCCAATCACATGTACGATGAAACGGTGTTCTGGTCCGTTAGTAGTATTGTCGTTCGCCCAACACAAGACCAAGAACTGTGAGCGTGGCTCGACAGTTGGAACTATGTTCCTACCTAAATAGTTAAATTCTAGGTACGAACCTTAGGTCAACTGGAATTTAATGATATATGGATCTTGGCCCATTAAGAGAATCTCCGGGAGAATCTCTGAATCAACATTGAGGGTTGTTGGTTTGTTAAAATAGTGGGAAATAATTAATTAAAAGGCCTAATTAATTATTCAACATGATAGATAACCTAGTTTGTAATTTCATTCTGTAGATGGCATCGAATAACACGTACAGTCATTCCATGAACCTGCGCTATATCCTCGAGAGCCAAAAACTCTCCGGGGAAAACTTTCTTGACTGGGAGAAGAACCTCCGAATCGTTCTTAACTGTGAGAGGAAACTCAACATCCTCGAAACGAATCCTCCCAAGACCCCTGAGGAAAATGCTCGTGCGTCCGAATGCACTTCTTTCAAGAAGTATGAGGACGACGCGCGAGATGTTAAGTGTATCATTATGGCCAGTATGACCACGGAGCTCCAAAGGCTCCGCGTGGACATGGAAGCGCGTCCTATGATACAACGCTTGAGAGACCTATACCTGGGTCAACCCAAAAACTCAGGTATTTACGTTATCGAAGTCAACATGTCTGATTTCACCTCTTAGGTGATGGATACCGGATGTGGTTCTCACATCTGTACTTCTATGCAGAATCTGCATGAAGTTAGACATTTGGTTGAGGGAGAAGTCCAGCTTAAGGTCGAAAATGGAGCACTTGTCAATGCGCTGGCTGTAGGAACTTATGTTCTATCTCACTTGGTAAGCACTTCTCTTTCTAATTCCTGTGGAAAGTCGCTTTCATTACCCGTTCGCTGCGGAAATCATGTATCAATTCTTTAGTGCATCAGGAAAATAAAAACGTTTGCTTATGAAACTGTAATGGTTTTCTTAATTACAAATGAATATATGTATGCTTTACCTCGATCATGATATCTCTCATTTTTGAAGCTGGGATACCCATAATCTCTTTGCACTCTCGATCCCATAGAACAAATGTCGCATGACCGGTTCCATCCTTCAATGTGACTGTAACTTTGTACCTATATAAATTTTAAGAAGAATTTTTTAACTTTAGTTTTTCATAGACTTTTATTCCCTACTGATTATTAGTTTCAATGTTAACAATGTTTTCAAAAACGCTTACTTGTATTCAACGAACGTCATTGTTTTAGCACACTGTCCACAGCGGAAACAATCTCCATCTCTCTCAACCTTTCGGCTACAGGTCTTGTTGTTGTAGGCCAAGTAATACCAATCTTTGTAGTTTTCCACAGAAACAATGTCAGCCATGACCCAAAAATACCCATCCTGTAATAGAGATTAGTCAGCACCATTAAAGCAATTCGACCAATTAAAAATAATTCGAGAAATATTTAGTGGTTAACCTCAGTTTCAGCAAGTAGATTTTTGATACTTGAAATTTTCATGTTTGCACTTGTATCTTCTGTCACTTCACTACTCTGGGTGAGTGTGAACGCACTTGAAGATCTGCTATCCTCGTCCCCATTCTTGAAAGTCTTCAAAAATTCTTTTGCCTCTTCACAATCATTGTCTAGGATAAGTAGATTTTTAGTGGTTAACCTCAGTTTCAGCAAGTAGATTTTTGATACTTGAAATTTTCATGTTTGCACTTGTATCTTCTGTCACTTCACTACTCTGGGTGAGTGTGAACGCACTTGAAGATCTGCTATCCTCGTCCCCATTCTTGAAAGCCTTCAAAAATTCTTTTGCCTCTTCACAATCATTGTCTAGGATAAGTTTTGTCACATGGAATGACGTTGAAATAGACACCTCTTCAGCAAGTGAGAAATTGTTTTTAAAAAGTGTAATGAAATAAAACATAGACTATTATATTCACCAAACGGGTAGTGTAGGACTATACTCATGAATTCCTTCGTTCGGGCAAACTGCACTATGAGAATTGGATTTGTTATCCCTCTACCAACTGATTCATTGAATTTCTCAATGTAGTCTCCCCAAAGGGTGCAACGTAGGTGTTGTCCCCTATGAAACCAAACATAGGTAGCATTACATTAGAAATAAAATCCAGGTAAATGTACATTTTATTAGGACATAACATAACCTTGCGTCCTACAAAGTAAGCTCCATAAATCTCTGTGGACTCTCGAGAACCATTCGGCTTTGAATTCCAATCCTTGCAATGACTTTTCCTATGACATTTGAAAAATGACAGTAACTTAGTCACTCTTTATAAAAAATGTAATAACAAAAAATTCGAATATTTAATCCTTACCAGTCAGCATATTCTTGCTCAAGGGTTCCAATAGCTTCTCAAAAGGACAGAAGTTATACATGAAAGTTGGAAATCGATAGACATTGATGTCTTTCCACAGTGTCTCTCTATAGAAAGTCAGAATGAAAGGGTGGTCTGTTGTCTTAAAACCGTGATAGTTATTTGCAATCAAGAAATTTTTTAAGGCACAAACGACCCCTTCCTTGATTTTTGGTCTGAAGTATTTCATTTCAGGCTTCGTAATCTGGGCGTGAATCCTTTTTTCCTATTGCAAAGAAAATAAAATAGGTTAGCTTGAAATTATAGAAACCTTGCCTGAATGCAAATTGTAGGATGATTTGAAGTGTTTTTCTTTGAGTCATGAAAAATTACTTCCATTGTATTTGGCGTTCCATTGCGGGTGGGCAAATCATAAACCTGAACAGCTCGAACACAAATTGCCTACTCGTTTTTACTATCGTCCAAATCTTTTAAATCGCACCATAGACCACCTCATGCACTCGATTCATCTGACATGTTGTGTGATTTTTGTAGGGCAAGGAGAACTGAATATGTGCAATTGTGAGAAGGAGAAACAAGACGACTACTGCATTTTATATAAAATTCTGGCGGCAGGGAGAGTGGGGATGTTCCACCCCACAAAAGAGGAGAAGTGGGATGGAAGTGGGCTGATTTTTTTTTAAATAAATTTAAGAATAGAAGTTATATTGTAATGGATGAGACGTGTGGCAGTAGTTGTGAGTTTTTTTCGTTTTTTTATTTTTCCTGTTTAACTAATTATAATTTTATAATATTTGCACTAGGAGGAAAAGAAATAATAATAATAATAATAATATCAAAAATTAATAATTTTAAATAAGTAATTCCCAATTTTTTAAAACATGCATTTGTGGTATTTATTTTATTTTAGATTCATGAATTTTATTAATAAATATACATGGAAGAATATAAAAAACGAATTGCAAGCTTGGACTGAGTATTAGAGTATTTTAACGGGTTTAATACATGTTACAATTTTATACCAAATAATTTAACAGGCCCAGAAACTTTGGATTTGCAAAAAAAATGGCCCAAAGCTACAATATCCGGCCCAGATTTTTAGGTGGGATTTTTTTCCTGCTGCTCTTGTAAATAGAAGGATGTTGTGTTTGATAACTTAATATATGTATTCTCTTACTTTCAATTGATTAACTTAATGTTTTTATTTTTGTCGACACAAACTATTTTGTACTCAATTCAATCTTTTTCAGACTTTAAATTTTAAATTCTCATTTTTAATTTTAGATTTTCAAATTTTTTATTGAACTTTTAAACTTTAAAAATTTAAAATGGTCACACGATAATTATTAAGTATAAATTGGAAATTAATTACAAAAATAAAGAATATATCTTGAATGCATCATAATAACCCCCTCCATGTCGATTTAAAATAATAGTGTGTTATAAATGAAAAATGAAATTTTACGTTTTAATCGTATAAATTATGAATAGTTCTTCACATAAAAAATTGGAGAATTTTAAAGTTATTGCTGAATTTACTAGACTCGAACCCGTGCGTTGCACGGCGTAAAAAAAACTTACAATAATTAGGCAAATTATTCATGTTGGAATTCGATATGATTCAATTAAAATACGAATATAAAATGAAATACTAAAGGGGAGGAAGTATACAATGATACAAATTGTGGAAGCATTACATTATACGTTTTGGAAAACTTCTTTATAAACTACATTGGTAGTTTGATTCATCTTGCTTTGGTCATCATTGCATATCAAGATCTTTAGACCTCTGCGATTTGTGACACGTGAAAGCGCTACGTAAAACTGACCAAAAACATTTTTGCATACCCAACACATTTCCATATCAAGTGATTCTTCGTTACTTTTGCACTTGTAGCATGGATCACATAAACTTCCAATTCCTCCTATATTGTTAGAAAAAAATTCCATTTATTAATATTAGACAAAAAAAGTTTTAAAATATAAAATAGTTACAAATAATATTAACATAATAATACAACAAATGTATAACAAAATCGGGCCAGGTTTTTAAAATAAAGCCTAAAAAAATTTTTCAGCCCAGTCCTCCGTCAACCATGTATATTCGGCCCACACAAAAAAAACACTCTCTATCTAAAATTAGCCTAATATTGGACCGGCCCAACCCTTTCCCATTTTATCCCTAATCTCACCCGTGTAATCTCTCGGTCCACTCATTCTCCGCCGCATCCCACGTCTCTCTGCATCTCTCTAAACTCTGTTGGGAATGGTTGCCGACGGTGACGGTGGTTTATCCACCACTACACCCACCGGCGATTTGTAAATCGTGTTCCCTACTATTCTCTCTACCATTCAATGTTTTAGTTGATGGATACGCCGGCAAATATATACAGTGGACCTTCAACGACGGGAACGCAGATCACTGATGCGGTAATTTCGGTAAAATTCATTTCTTACATGATGTGAATCCGTGCCTGACTATATACTCTCTATATTTAAAGATTATTATGAAAATTAACAGATCATTTTATCTTGCTTTGTAATTTGGAGTTGAATTTTATAGATCTCAATCCCACATGCAAAGGACTGTTAGAATTATTTTTCTTAAAAAAAGCTAATTTTTGTGTGAAAAAAATATTGGTATATTTCTATAAACCAATTTATGTAGATTTTTTTAGACAGTAACCTAATGTTCATATTACTTTTTTGAAATTGTGAATCTGTTTTAATAAAGCATAGATCCGTGATTTCATCTGAAATTGGTTATCACTGATAGTGTGAATCTGTTTTTAAAAAGCATAGATCTGGATTTCATCTTTTACAGTTTAAAACTTTTAAAAATCTGCAAATTAGTATAATGTCTCTGGAATCAGATTAAAGTATTTAAAAAAGTATTTGTTTATTTGTAATTAATATAATAAGGTGATTTGAAAGAGTATTTTTCAATGACACTTTGAATGTCATTATAGAAAGATTTCTTAATCACGTGTTTTTAATTCATTTGAAAAATATACCATTAAGATCAATGACTTTTATTGATAACAGTTTAAATGCAGATTTTGAAACTTAGGCAATATGTTCAGTAATAATGTGAAAGTAGATTAAGGTTAAGTTGATTAAGGGTAAATGCCGTGTGTGTGTGCAGATTTAAGAAATTATTTATTTAGTAATTGCCATTTCTGTACACTAATCTAATTCAATTAACACTTAAATTTTTTTTAAAAAAAGAGAATCTTCTATATACAGACCTTAATATCCAAAAAAAAGTATTAATAGATATTAAATCTAAATAATTTAAGAAATTTATTTATCTGTAATTAAAAAAACATGTTTTATATCCAAGATATAATAATCTGATTCAGGGAGTATACATTAAAGTTTTCAAACAGCCATTGAACCAAAAAAACATGTTCAATAAACGATATTGAACATGATTAAGGTTCAATTGCACATTAACAATATTTTTATGCAGAATATCCAGATTAGAGAAAAAAACTTCAAGGATGGTGTGGTATAAAGAAAGGTATTAAATGTGTGTGTGTCTATATATGTGTGTGTGTATATATATATATATATATATATATATATATTCAATTTTATAATTAATAGTAATCGTATTTTTTTACATCAGGAACACTCTCTTACCTTTATCCGATTCGTTTTCTGAATCATGCATGGGAGAGATTCTTTCTGTTTTGATAAGCTTCCTCATTCCTCTTGACAGAGTTATCACAGGTATCTGTTTGGAACAACTAATTTTTATTAAATCAATATATACAAATTTAAATTAGAATTAAAAACATAACAGCGTTTCTTCTAATACTTTGTTTAATGTTTCAAATTAGTAAATTTATAGTTTAATTTGTTTTAGCCGAGATGCAAAAAAAATAAATTTCCAAGAATTATTACTTTGACTCCAATGCAATTTCATGTTTTTAAAAGCTAAGTGTTGGTTCGAAATTTGCACAAATAAATCAAATGTCTTGTATTTCTAAGGTTCAATAAAAAAATATTTCTAAAATAAGAAGAGGGTGAATTACTAACCTTAGAAAGGAAGGATTAATGGTAGTTATGAATGTTCAAGATCACCTTGAATGTAGTTGGTAAGGAGGTTGAGAAATAAATGAAGAAAGAAGGAGGGTTAAAGAAGTGTAGTTGTATACCTTTATAGAGTATTAAATGCATGGAAATAAACATGCTATTACAATAGGTGTGTGGCTCAATGTTTGGCTCATTTATTACTGCATAGAACTTTTTTTTAATACATTTTTCTTTATTAAATTATTAAGAATTATTATCTTACTTATTCCATATGTTCATTATAATGCATTTTTCTTTATTGATTTTTATTACATATTCGGTTACAATTTTAAAAGTTTTAAAATACATTTACATTATAAGGTCACTGATTATTTTCCAAAATATTACTCCAAAAAATAAACAATGTGTCATTCATATAAGTTAGATTATTATATATTTCGTATTGTAAATAAGTCTAAAAAATCATACTCCATTTACTGCATAATATGATTTTTTGCGTAAACGTTGATTTTTTGCGTGTGTGTATATATATATATATATATATATATATATATATATATATATATATGGGTAACCGTTTGGGCCATTAATTAATGCTACATTGGGCCACACACCTAGATTTAGTGATCATTTATGCATATTGTAGCATTTAAGTTTCACGTTTTTTTTGCTATATTTTCTAAATCTTGACCATTAATGCACACCAAATATACTTGGTAATATTCCATGTACCCCTTACATTAAATGCTACACTGTTCACGAAGTAATCAATACTTATATTCTTAGAGCCCCACGCCATTTATTAATTACGGAGTATTATTACATTACATTTTCAAGTACAATTTTAAAATTAATTAAATATATTTCCAATATTAGGTCACTGAATATTTTCCAAAATATTAATTTCTGTTTTTCAAAAAAAAAACGTTGTGTCATTCCCATAAGTTATATTTTTTTTTGTATTTCGTATTACAAATATATAAATAAGTTTTATATATTCTTACTTTACTTTTTATGTACTCTTCAAAGTCCTATTATAAATTCTTACTATACATATACTATATTTACTGTAAATAAATCTAAAAAATCATATGTATTTTTTGAGAGCAATATACATAATATGATTTTTCAAAAATGTTGAAAGAATTATATATATATATATATATATATATATATATATATGGGTAACCGTTTGGGCCATTAATGCTACATTGGGCCACACACCTAGATTTAGTGATCATTTATGTATATTGTAGCATTTAAGTTTCACAGTTTTTTTTGCTAGATTTACCAAATCTTGACCATTAATGCACACCAAACATGCTTGATAATATTCCATGTACCCCTCACATTGAATTCTACACTGTTCACGAAGTAATCAATAATTATACTCTTAGAACCCCACGCCAAGTACAATTTTACAATTAATTTAATATATTTCCATTATTAGGTCACTGAATATTTTCCAAAAAATTTGGATTTAGTATAATTAATTTCCGTATTTCAGAAAAAAAACTTTGTGTCATTCTCATAAGTAAGCTTTTTTTATATTTCGTATTATCAATATATATATATATATATATATATAAGTTTTATATATTCTTACTTTACTTTTTAAGTACTCTTCAAAATTATATTATAAATTCTTACTATACATATACTCTATTTACTGTAAATAAATTTATAAAATCATATGTTTTTTTGATAGCAAAATATACAATATGATTTTTTAACAAATGTTGAAAGCATAATATACATACATACATACATACATACATACATACATACATACATACATACATATATATATATATATACTCGGTTTGGGCCATTAATGCTACATTGGGCCACACACCTAGATTTAGTGATCATTTATCTATATTGTATGCTTCACGTTTTTTTTGTTAGATTTTCCAAATCTTGATCATTAATGGATACCAAGCATGCTTGGTAATATTCCATGTATCCTCACATTAAATGCTACACTGTAAACGAAGTAATCAATACTTATCATCCTAGAGCCCAACACCATTTGATGTTAGATTCATTTTAAACACACCAAGCATGCTTAACACTTCGTATCAATATATGCACAATCACATTAAATGCATTCACTTCTCATGGGGTTTAGGTACAAAAGACATGCTACACTTTTTTAAAAACATGTGCTACAAAAATCTATAAATTTATTGTATTTATTGATAAATTAAAACGAATACATATATATACATTATAAATATTTTTTCGCAATGTAATTATTTTTTTCATACACTATAAATATATATATATGAAAAATATTTTGAAATTTGAAAGCTGCCTACCCTTTTAAAATTTACCTATAGCTTGTAGGCAACAAAGTATATAGTAATTTGAAATTTGCCTACTCATTTAAGATTGTAGGCAACAAACTTATTCAAATTTCAAATAACACCTCCCCACGCGCATGTTTTTTAAATCAAAGTGTTACCCGAAGAGAATAACTTAATTTTTGATTAATTAGAGTAGAAAATGACGACAAAACACAAATTCAGAGTACTTTAATACATCGCATAGGAATTACATACCACCTTTTGAAACCAACAAAAAACAAAAACTAACAAAAATAACAAAGGTGATTAAAATAGAAGAAATGCACAACACTTCATGGAATCTCCACCTTTCGCCTACTTAGGAACGAAGTAAACCCGAATAGCCCTCAACATGAGAATCCAAGAATTCTTATCGCTGTTGAGTTCCGCAATTGGAGTGAATATTGTCATGGACCTCTTTTCGGAATTTTGAGCCATATTTTTGGTATATATGAAACTTATGTTAATGCCAATATAGTGAAGTGATGTAGGTTTGGATGGAAAGAGGTGTATATATATTATTTGGAAAAAGAAAGTAAGTTTAAGCACATTAAATGCTTGGATTTTGTAAATCTAACTATTAAATTGATAAGATGTAAAGCATTGATATGGCACACTTCCACATAAACCATTATTACATTGCTTTATGGAGCTCCGCACCAAGCCGTCAAACGCAACCCAATAAATTGTCAGCAGCATGCCCAATCCAGTTCAAATCTCGGCCCATGTCCAGCAGCAAGGTCCGGCCCAATTGATGGTGGAGAAAATGGCGGGAACACTATTCCTAAGGTCCTCCTACCATTGTATATAGGAGGATAGTCAAAAAATCTTTCCAACAAATATGAATTTGATTTTGAAATATCTACGTCAAAATTCATTATTTTCTCTAAATTTTTCTTTATCTTTTATCACTCCGTAGTTACCAAGACATACTTAATAATTTAAAGTCATCATTCAAAATGTCACGTATTCTGATTAATTGGCAGCCTGAAGTATAGGTATAAAATTGAGCAACTTCTAAGAACAATTGTGTAATTATTCAATTATAAGGAATAAACTTAAAATCACAAATTATTTAGAGTATTCGTGTGAATTTTTGTTTTTTAAAATTAGACCAATATAAAATTTATTTTTGAAACATTCCAAAAAGAAAAACAGGAAATCATAGACACGAGGCAATGTACAAGCAAAGTATCAAATTAATCTTTTTTCGCAATTGTAGTAACTCTTACAGTCGAGATTTGTAAGTCACTTTTTAATTTCACCAAAATTTTAGGAATTTAAGTAAAAAATAAAAATAAAAATATGTAAAACTTAAAATTAGCATGTCCTTTGATGATGACAAATTGGCAATAATTCTAACTGCTCATTAAGGGGTACTGTATTTTTTCAATCATTCATGACAATGTTTTTAGCAAAAATATGGTAAGCAGACAATAAAACTCACACGCTTAAGAACAAATGGAGAACAAAACCCACAAGGAGGGAGCATAAGATATAAAGGCAATAAGCATAAATATGCATTGCAGATATGAAGCAGTGCACATTGAATTCAAAAAAAAAACATTGAGCTACACTCATTCGTATTTGAGCTGTTCTATTTGCCTAAAGATAAAGCATGTTGCAAATGAAGTCAAGAACCAAATGTTGCAAAAAAACGAAAAAGTAAATATCTCGAAAACATTGGGCAGGAAGTTAAGTACATCTAAGATCGGAATTCTCTTAACCAACATTAGCATCTCTAGATCTTAAATCAAAAGGAAATCTCTCTTTACTCACCATGGTTTAAGAACATGCGAGAAAAATCTGCCAAAAGAATGTGGCAAAGTAATTTTGTCGCTCAATCCTCATAATCAGCTGAATGTTCCAGTAGATAGTTTGCTGCCAACTCTTCATTGCGGTCGCAAGCTAAAAATGCCTCAATTACAAGAGCTCTATCAAAGCCCAAGCCCTCGAGCTGGTAAGATCAAATAGTTTGTGTTCAATGATCATTACTTTCCTCGTACGCATAATTATTATGTTATATAAGAGTGTAACAGACAAAGATGCTGTTTTGCTTACCCTCCCAATTGCCTCCTGCTCTGCCGGTGTAACACTGACAGTATGGGGCATATCCTGATCGGGCTGATCATCAAATATGTCACTGCAAGAAATTTAAAATATATATGTTAACAATCAGAAAAATTAGCTAATAATATAAATAAACACTGGCTAACAGAAATGCTTGGATCTGAAATACAATGAAGAAACTCACAATCAGAAAGTTATTTGAGCAGGTGCAACATTAGCTAACAGAAATCTTAGCTAATAATATAAATATATACGAGTATAACATTTCTAAAAAAGAGACAAAAGAAAGCAAATGAAGAGGACTGGGGGCACACCCTTCAGGACCATCAACAGGCTCATTGATTAACTGGAGGAACTCTTGATGGTGCTCCTGTATTGTTCTTAAAAGATTAGGATTTTGCTTTCCTAGCTCCTGGAGCATAGGCTGCAAAAAACACAACTTATAATGTCAGAATATATAAAGCAGACAAAGAAACACATCAAAGAGAAAATAACATCAATGACCTGAAGGATTTGCGGATTAGATTGAACCATTGTACGCAATGCTTGGAACTGAAATACAGAGAAGACACTCTCAATAACATCTTTAGAATCAAGTAAGCTATACATTCAGGAATCTGCGGATTTGACCTGTTGGCTATTCCTGAGGAAATCAAGGGATCCAAGACCAGCAACAGCAGCTCCAGAAACCTGCTCCTATAAAATTCACAAGATATTCCGTCTAATATTTGTATGAGACAATGCACACCCTATAGACTATATATGAGAAAGGATAGAAAACTACAATACACCTGTGGGAACATATTCAATGGAGACGCATTAGGGCCTCCTATAACAGGGATAGCATTCACTGCACCTTGAGCTGTGGCAGGAAGACCACTCTGAGCCACTGGTAGAGCAACTTCAGCTGTTTCTGGAATTCCCTATAAAAAAACGCCTGATGAATAAATACTAATAAAAGTTTGCACTGTGAGAAAAGGTTCTATAAAAGGGACAAATAGCTTACTGAATATAAGTAGTCAATAGCTCTTTCCGGGTTGTTGTAAGCAGCGCGTAGTGCTCGTGTAACTGTTTCCTTGTCCCAGTTTCCACCACCCACATCTATAAGTTGTTGGATTATCTCCTCAAGATTACCACCAGCCACTAAATTTGAAGCAGCTTGACTATAACTATCAAGGGGAACAGTGCAACAAGAGAATCTCATTTGAAGTAAACCATATTGTCAATAAATTGAATCACTGACTTGGCACAAAATCCTAGAAGAAGCAAAAAAGAGTAGAGAAAAAGAAAACAATCATATAATGATATGGATGAGTAGTATGTACCTAGCTGTTGCAGCATCAGAAGCAGATTTTACACTCTTGGGGACACTACAAAGGTAAAATTCATAGTGAAAATTAGCAGTGGTCAAAAGTAGCAAACTGGTAATGAAAACTGACGTGTGTTTAAACTCACACTTCTGAAGGAGGGACGACAGGTGCTGTAGTAGTATTAGAAGCTGGAGCACCAGTAGCGGAAGGCTGTTAAAAGAACAGGAGATGAGATGTAGTGGTGAGGAAAGGGGGCGGTATATCAAACATGAGTACATGAGTACATGGCACACCACATAGGGTAACAATGTCTAAGGCCCAGTATACATTCAACGCACCTGAGCACAAGATGTCCCACTTGACCCAACAGTTTTGCTCTGCATAATAAAACATTTAAAGGGATATTGATCTAACAATTCAACATCTGATTATAAATTATACACCAATCTTTGAAGACACAAATATTTAGATGCTCCTAATACAAGAATTTCTGAGGGTTGTGAGGATAAAATCACTTGCACAGTAGTTGCAGCAACAACACAACAGGATATATAAACAATTTACCTTGCTAAGCATGACAACAAGAAATCCATCTTCACTAACATTGTTTTCAGTCAGTGTGCTCTCATCTTTCAAGACTTTACCGTTATGAATAAGCAACTGCTGACCACATGGATAGCTGTCTTTTCCCTGTGCATCTTCAATGTTTTTCTTTACTGCCATAATCTAAGATTTTAATAAAAAGAATAACAGTCAATTTAAAAGGCATTTTGTAAACATTAAATTTAAAAGTTTCCCACCTCATTGAAGAACAATCAATACAGTTACTAACAAGGCCTGTCTGGCCAGGATATTATGTTTTTTGAAGTCACGCATCTCTCACTGATAGTCTTATGCACCAAGTATTTTCAAAGGGTTTTCAACAAATGAATACCTACTCCCCGTCCCAATTTAAAAAAAAAACTCAAAACCCATCAAAGCAACAATATTCATATCTATGTGCTTCAAGTCCTTAATTGGCATATTTTACTAACATGATACACTAATGGATGTATTTATTTTCCTGATCTTTCTGTTGATTCCTCATGAACCCCACATGTGCTGGGTGTTCCCCTACACTGACAGTCCTAAGCTTAGATAAACAAGGGGGTTGAGTTAGAAACCTTGTTATATCTATTGATATCTGGTGATGATTGGGATCCTATCACAGGTCGATGGGATCGAAGCTGAATGGTTTTCATTGGAGGATTGAAGGTGGATGCTGCCATACCAATGGAGATGAAGGTGATGACGTATTTATAATGTAAATAAATAGAAGGATTATGAGATGTTGGGCTCTCCAACAAGTCCCTTTGGTTCAATTTTAGGAGAATTTTCTGACTCGTATTTTACTCCATGCCAACCTTCTCTTAATAGAAAGAGACGATATTATAAAAAATCATAAAATAGGAAGAGAAAGAACGGTCCATGCAAACTGCCCAGTCCATGATAATATGCAATACTGCTGCTAGTCCTATAACTAAAGCTAACTAAAAACTCACATCATTCACACACAAATTCAATTACAAAAATGATAATAATTAACTAATAATAATAATAATTAACAGAAATCATTCGGCTCGGGAGTTCTAACCAAGCTTATCCTCAAGTTGAAGGAAAAATGTGCTTCCTTTTGCTTAATGTGGAAACTAATAACCTCGCGAGAACCCAGGCTTTTCAATACCACCAGAATTCATGAGATCATTAACTTCTAGTTCCCCGAGCTCGGCATAAAAACATGCTTACTGCTATAACTTATAACCCAAAGACAAGAGTGCATGTCTTCACACAGTTATCACAAACACACTTGCTCGTCTTTCAGCCAATTCACTTTTTATTAGTCTCTTTATGGGGACCTAAGTCACACCGAGACGAGGACAGAGACTTATACGGGGAAGGCGTCAGAAGCGTGAAACACCAATTTTTCATAAATTAAAGGATTTGGGTTGGGGACGCCCCAAGTACCCGATTGTGGATGTTTCGGGGACGAGAAGCATCACTTATTTGAAGAATCCGTGCAACATAGATGGGGACTATGTGAATTGTACCCACCTTGAGCGATAGGAAATTGGCATTGTCATGGGGAAACTAGTAGTTATGATTGTGTGAGTACTACAAGATAACAAGAACCACGATGTTGCCTCTCAAATAGGTAACAGGTGTCATGGAGGTGTTGCACTAAATTGTTATTACATTTCCTTTGAGACTTCACATCCATGCGAAGCAGGTTGTTCAGGCTTATGGTGTACAAATCCACCAATTGATCTTCAAGCACAGTAGTGGTTGCTCTCGTGAGATGAGTTTGGAATCTTTCATTATAAGATTAGATACAACAAAAAACCCGGTATAATCCCACAGGTCCGGGGATGGTGTGTGTACGCAGACCTTACCTTTACTCAAAAGAAGAGGTTGTTTTCAAGAGACTCTTAGTTCAAGGCAAGCATCAGAGACTCAGAGCGGTGCCGAGACCAACCATGTAGACACAAGAGCACGAACGAAGTGGGAGCAAAGTCTCCGAGGGCATTTCCCGCAAAATGGGTTCCGAAATGTAATTGAAAATAATATTTCTAGCAGTTCCAAGATAAAATAGGCTCCCTCGTCTCTTAGTTATAGGACCACAGCTTCCCAGCCCAAGCCACATTGTCCTCTGGAATGAGAATGCATGTTTTCTCTCTTATTGGTCTTTCATTCGCTTCAAGAACAGAACAAGAGGGTCCACTCAAAGCTTTTGGAGAGAAAAAAAATGCTGGAACATTTTCCAGAGTTCGGGCTGATCTTGCATTGTGGGGTTTGAATTTTTCTCCGTGACAATGTTGAGAGATTCAAAGAGGTTTGATTCGCCCCTGACAATTGGCTCGGATACCAAACTGATATATTCCAAGATGGGGCTCACATTATGGGTCAATGTGATGGAGGAAACTAAATAGTTTTCATTACAAGGGTGAGTAAAGAAGCTAGTTTAGGAAAAGATAATATAATTAATGGAATCAGACTGGAAACTTGGAATATTGTGTGTTTTAATGGGAAAGCATACGAAGGTTGTGGATACTATAATTAAAAGAAATATTAATAGACTATTTTTACAAGAAAAATATACATTGGCATGATGTTTTGTTCTCGGACATAATTGTGCATTACAGGGCAATGACCAATGGTGCACCAGTGTGACAGAGTGAAGGAAGAGCTTGGGAAGGGTTTATTATTGAACCCTAACTACCTCTTAAAAAAATTATTTTTTATGCTACCTTCCTACTAGAAGATACAACTCTTCAAAAAACATTTAGTAATCCAAAGAGAACACCTTTGGAAACGAATACCGTTCTTTACGAAACCAAATAGTAATAGGAAACTGAATATGAATAAGATACTACTACTAATATTAATAATAATGATTTTTGGATGATTATAATACATACGTTGGGGGTACTTGCCACAAATAATATGTACTCCCTCCTAACAGAAATTTTCTTCCCGCTATTCTTTTTAGACCGTACAAAATTTTTACTTATTTCCTTATTTGACAAACTATTTTGTGTTAAATTTCCTATTTACCCTTACACTCAATTTCCTACCCACCCCCATTTACTCCCACCCAAGTCTCAGATCAACCCTAGGTCTATCTCTTCTCTTCTTCTAGATCTAATCTCTTCATCTCTTTGAACTCCCTCCGCTGCCGCTCAAATGGTTGGTTCAGCATCTCTTTCTCTAAGTTTGGTTCAATGGTCAGAAGCTTATATAAACTTTTCCTCTATTTGAGTTGCAATAACAATTCTTCTCTTTGATTTGCAGCAAATATTCTCCAACAGAAGAGGCCAGACCGGCGATGGCAGAAGAGGACCCCAGAACTGCCAGAAGTGATAACAGAGATGGTCTACGCTGTACTTCATCGACCAGCGACCAGCAATGGTAGCTCCGGCGTTCCAGCATTTCCAACAACCAACAACGGCGTTTCAGCATTTCTGGCTACCAGCAGCAGCAGCGACAACAGTTGCAGAGAAGGCATCAACAACCCTTTTGTGAAGAATAATGTGGGAGGACAATTTAGGAAAGTCAATGAAGATTTTAACATGTCTAAAAAACTAGATTCATCCCCGTGCAATGCACGGACATAAAATTTGTCATGTTTATTGATTGCTTACGATCATATATACATCTTAAGCAAACTCTTTAATTTACAACATTAGAAATTTAAGAGTGTGTGAGCAAGTTCCTTAAAACCTTTTAATGTCAATATTAAAATAAATTTATCTTGCAATATATACTATCTTCTTTCCTGAGTATCTGTCCAGTTTTGACTTTTTCCACTTAATCATTTTCAATCTTTGACCTATAATTAAATAAAATATATATTGTATATTAATTTGATAAAATAATATTTTTGAAAACATTTGATGTAATAAATCTAATAAAAATATTTTTGTCCAAATATCTAATACTATTTTTATTTAATTTGAAAAAATTCAAATGGTTATAAATAGCCTTCAAGTCATATTTTATATAAAACTCACCTATTTTATAGTGTTTGAAGACATATTTTACCCTATCTTGGAAAATGATGTCCGAAAAGAATTTTAAAACAATCCTTATTAATTATTTACTCTGTATTAGTTTTAAAAAAATATAAATTTTAAAATTAAAATTATAACTTTTTGAAAAATACTTAAATCTCTTATTGATAAAGAGTTTATTCTTAAACACATGGCACACTACACTAAATAAAAATAGGGTGTACTACAGAGTACGAAGTAATGATTTTCACTGAATGTATTATGTATGTTGAGGCCAACATTAAAACTTACGGAGTATTGAAACTAAAGCTAATTTTCACAATAATCATCCCTCCATCTCTTAATTCCTTGCCATGTCCAGTTTTCAGTTAGGGTATTTTAGACAAATTTATCCCATAGTCAAATTCCTTTAAAATTGAGAACATGTTACAATTAGAAGATTTAAAATATCAAAAACTCCGATTCTTGTCATACTTCTTGATTTTATAGTTTTTTTAAGCCAACAATGGATTCTATTCCTGTAGAAAAATTGATAACAGTTAGGGTCCGTTTGGTATGTGGAATTGACGGAATTAGAATTGAATTGGAATTGAAATTCCATGGGATTCAATTCCATAGAATTGAATTCTGCCAATTCCAATTCATTTTTTACACTATCAATTCCAAATTCACATAATTTTTGAGCTACCAAACACAGGAATTGGATTTGAAGCCCTCAATTCCAATTCCATGGTTTGAATTCCATGTACCAAACGGGGTCTTATAGAAAAACAAATATGCATATGATAGCACAAAATATGCACCATTCTTGAAGTGGATAATATGCATTGAATGAGGAAAAGGGAATACCCTTCCTTAGACATATACCATGTGAATATATGTATACGGAGTATGAATTATTGTAGCTATTAGGTTATTTGGACTGTTGTGAATCTATGTATCTATATGAATTGTTCTTCAAGTTTTGGACCGGAGCTACTCAATATGGGCGGGAAACAACATAATCTATTTTATTTTCTTTTTATATATAGTAGGATAGGATGTGGCACATCAACTTGGGAAGAAATTTTTTGGAAGGGGTGGGTACTAATTTTTTGGCTAAGGAGTTGGACACTTCAGGCTTAAGCTGTGGTATGCAGGAAAGGTGAAGAACAGAAATGGAGTTGGTATTAATGTGGA